TGCACGCGCGGGCTCTTTTGACGCGGGTGTCACTGATTGCCCCAAGTGTTTTGCAGCCGCGCCCGCCCATGTTCTAAAAGCATGCGTTTATGCATCTATGTACATATATATACACATATATGTATAATTGTTCATACGTATGTAGATATTCATACATACACGAGCTGGCGGTAGTTGTTTTTTTCTGACGCTGTTGGCGCTCTTGGCGCAGATTTCACCAGCAGCTCTTCCATGCTCGCCGTTTCATTGGCGAGGGTGGCCAGGGGGGATAGCAGGAGTAGGATATCTCACTTCCTCCTTTCCCTCGTCCGCGGAAGCATTGCCTGCTGGCGTGTGGCGCTTCGGCCGCTATTCGCCCCTGCGACCTGCAAGTCGCAAGTCGGAGGAAGAGGCCTGGCAAAACACTTGACTTCTCGAGGAGAGGAAATACAAACAAATCCACTCAAGAGGCCCCCAGGAAGCCCCCAAGAGGCACAACAATTGGTTCCAATATGCTCCCGAGAAGCCTTCACGATGCCTCTGAGACGCCCCCCAAGAGGCCGCAAAAGCTGCCTCGAATATACCCAAAACGCTAACGTTCAAACAAACATGTTGCAACACAATTTTGTGTTTTCAATGATTTCACGGTCCTGGGAACGAATTTTCCCAGGCCCAGGTTTGGTCCTCCGTATGTTCCGAAATGGGAGGGGGATGCCACGCGAAGCTGTCTATTTTTGCTACAGGTGGAGCTCCTTCTGGCGCCTGATTCGCGTGAGGGGTGTGCGGACATGGGCGGGGGGGCATTGTGCGAGGCACGATCCACGCGATTCCCCAATCAGTGCTTGCACTGAAGGTGTCTCCGCGGAAGTTGAAGGATTTTGCGGAAGTGTCCCGCCAATTTGGTCGCACGTTGGGTTCCCGGGTTCCCGGTTGTGGGTTCCCGGGTTCCCGGTTCCGGGCCCCGGACCGATTTCGGAGGGCGGCAAGGTTCCCGGATTCCCGGGGTTCTTGGTCGATCGTTTTATCGATCGGTCCTACCATCGATATCATTATCAATTTTTCTACCGATCGCACCATCGATCTCACAATCGATATTACTGTCGATATCACCAGCGATCCCACTAGAGATCGCATGAGCGATCTCGCGATCGATCTCACTATCGATCTCATTGAATCGATTTCACTCTCGGTCTCACGATCGACCTTATAATCATCACGATCGAATCCACGATCGATCTCGTTATCGATCTCATAATCGATCTCAAGATCCATAGTAGTATTAACCTTCAATTCATCCACTGATTGGGTTTTCTCAGGTGAAATGGTGCGTGTGCGTGATTATGTATGTGTGGCAATGGCCAGATGGGGGGGGGGTCACAGTGCGAATCCTATCTCCTGGGGCCGTGGGCGGAGATCCCTGTGGGCCACGATCCGTGTGAGAGGTGTTCCGAAGTAGGCGGAAGACGGGATGCGAACCTTGCCTTTGGGGCCGTCCGTGGAACTTTTTGCAGGCCGCGGTCTGTGTGGATGGTGTGCCGAAGTGAGTTGGGCGACGCTATGAAGCTTCCCCAGCTGCTTGTGGTGCACGATCCGCCTGAGGAGCATGCCACTATGCGAACCGTGTCTCTGGGGACGTCGGTGGAGCTCGCTGTGGGGCGCGATGTCCGTGAGGAGTGCGCCACGTTCCGTGTGACAATATATCTCTTTGAGCACCGAACATTTTTATAATACAATTACGGAGCATGTTAGAACCTACACGCGCACCATGCGCGTGCGTAGTTCTAGTGTGTGTGGGTGTATATATATATGCACATATACATACACATGCCTGTGTATATGAATCTGTGTGTGTCGCACCCCGCAGTTGCGGATAAGAGTTAGGGGGCGGGTGCGGAGTGGGTCCCGGGTGGGTCGCTGGGTGGGTCGCGGGTGGGTCGCGGAGGGGCCGCGGGCGAGGACAACAACAAACAGCAACAGCAATCCCATGTCAGCCGAGCGTCCTTGGGACAGTAGATGACCGTTTGGCCCCCTCACTCTGTTATAGAGTGGAGACCCATGCTAAGAAACCCTCTGCTTGCCTCCAGGGTGCCCTGGGTTTCCGGGGTTTCGATGCCATGGAAAGCGTGACGGTCCCACACCACAAATCAATGGACGTCTTGGGGTCTCAGGGTTGGGTTTCCTGTGGAGGGCTTCTCGTGGACTGGCATCCACTGCAGACGCATCCCGTGGGAGGCCAGCCGACCACCCCAGCGACCCTGGCCAGGCCCGTCCCGAGCCCACGATGGGTGTGCACGCCTCCCTGGCAAGGCCAGAATGGCGCACACACACACACACACACACACACACGCACACACACACACACACACACACACGCGCACACCCGCACACACATACATAACACACAAACGCATAACACAAACATGCACACAACATACACAACATACACAACACACAACACACACAACACACACACAACACACAACACACACACAGCACGACGCACAATACACATTGCGCACACACGTGCAACACACAGTTTGGGCGGCCGCGGCCTCGCGCAGCGTCTGGGCGGAGCAAGCAGCACAATCCGAAGCCGAAGAGCGAGCGCACGCGGCTGGCCCCTCAGATGCGGCAGGGATCCTTCAGGATCGACCACTCCACACACAACACACACAGATCCTGGGCCCAGGATGGGCCTGGCCAGGATCGGCGAGGTGGTCAGCTGACGTCCCCCGAACCGAGCAGTCCGACGTGGTGCTGTCGCAGCGTGGCCCCCCAGAGGTCGGAGGCCCTGTTTCGGGGCCCGGCGTTTCTTCCCGAGTCGTTTTCGTTGACGGCCCCGGGGCCCGGGAAGGGCCACCAGAGGCTCCACATTGTCCCCATTCACAAATTCCATTGTGTTTTTTTGCGCGACGCGAAGATGTCCGGGAGTAAATGACGAGGTGGGCAGGAAGAGGTGAGGAGGGGGAGGAGGAAGCACGGAGGATGAGGAAGGAGGAAGGAGAAAGAGCAGGAAAAACGGGAAGAAGAAAAGAGGGAGAGGAGGAGGAGGAGGAGGAGGAGGAGGAGGAAAAGATGAGGAGGAGGAGCAGGAGAAGGAGGAGGCTGTTGCGCAGCCGAAGGCGACCAGTAACCTTCTACAGGCAAGAGCTCCTGAGCTCTGGCCTTGGCTTTTGCACGCCCGCTGAACCCGGCGACTGAAAACCATGCAGGCGGGCAATGTTCCAGGCGTCTAGCACGGGGGCATACATCTCATACAGGTGAAAGCTGGTGGGCCCCTGACTCGGCGCGGGCTGGAGGGGGGGCGGAGGAGGAGGAGAAGGAGGAGGAGGAGGAGGCGGACGAGGAGGAGGAGGGATGAGAAGGAGGTGGAGGAGGAGGAGGAGGAGGAGGAGGAGGAGGAGGAGCAGGGAGGAGGAGGGACGAGGAGGAGGAGCAGGAGGAGGACGAGGAGGAGGAGGAGGACGAGGACGAGGACGAGGAGAAAGGAGGATGAGAAGAAGGAGGAGGAGGAGCAGGAGGAGGATAAGACGCTGCTTGGCGCCGCCGCGCGTCCGCACCGACGGGCACAATAGCGGAGGGCGGGCACCTCGGCCTCCCTCGATGCTCCAGGCGCACCTGTGCCCACCCGAGGGATCGCGACAAAGTTGCGGAGCACAAAACTGTTATGGAAAATGAAGGGGCGGACCACTGGGCAGCGTCGACAGTACACGACGCTGCCCAGAGAGCCCTGAGCGCCACGGCAGGGCGCACGGTCGGGGAGGACGGGACGGCCTCCCCCGTGCTTTGACGTGCACTCGAACACATTAGAAGGCGGCTCCCCTGAGCAGCGGTCACCGCAGGGGAGACCTCACCTCACGGCCGTGCAACAGGGGGGGCGAGGACAGCGCGAGGCAGTGAAAAGGACGGCCAACGCCTGCATGACGGAACTCCAAGGCCCGAGTTCCAGGGCTGGCAGCGCAATTAGCACCGCCAAGCAGGACGACACAAAACCCTAGATCGACCCCGCAACGTGAGCCCAGCGACCGCGGACAAAATGAGCGGCCCTCCTGAGCAGTTGTCACCGCAGGGGGAGCGAGCAGGCGGTGGAGGAGCAGGAGGAGCAGGAGGAGGAGGAGAAGGAGGAGAAGGAGGAGGAGGGAGAAGGAGGAGGAGGAGGAGGAGGAGGAGGAGGAGGAGGAGGAGACGGAGGAGGCGGAGGAGGAGGAGGAAAGAAGGACGAGTACGAGGACGAGGACTAGGAGGAAGGAGGAGGAGAAGGAGGATAAGGAGGAGGAGAAACATCAGGAGGAGGAGAGGAGGAAGAGGAGGACGAGCAGAAGGAGGAGGAGGAGGAGGAGGAGGAGCAAGCGGCGGAGGAGGAGGAGCAGAAGGAGGACGAGGAGGAGGAGGAGGAGGCGGGAGGGAGGAGGAGGAGGAGGAGGAGGAGGACGGGACGAGGACGAGGAGGAAGGAGGAGGAGAAGGAGGATGAGGAGCATGAGGAAAATGAGGAGGAGGGAGGAGGAGGACGACGATTACGAGAAAGGAGGCGAGAAAGGAGGAGGAGGCGGAGGATGATGAGGAGGAGGAAAATCCGAAGGAGGAGGAGGCGGAGGAGGAACAGGAGGACAAGGGGGAGCAGGGAGGAGGAGGAGGAGGAGGAGGAGGAGGAGGAGGGAGGACGAGGACGAGGACGAGGACGAGACGAGGACGAGGTCGAGGAGGAAGGAGGAGGAGAAGGAGGATAAGGAGCAGGAGGAAAATGAGGAGGATGGAGGAGGAGGACGAGGACGAGAAAGAAGGAGGAGGAGGAGGAGGAGGAGGAGAGGATGAGGATGAGGAGGATGAGGAGGATGAGGATGAGGAGGAGGAGGATGAGGATGAGGATGAGGAGAGAGGAGGAAAATCAGGGGGGGGAGGAGGAGGAGAGGAGGAGGAGGAGGAGAGGAGGAGAAGGAGGAGCAGGCGGAGGAGCAGGCGGAGGAGGAGGAGGAGGAGGAGGACGCCCCCTCCGCGCGCCCGCGCAGGGGCGTCGAGGAGCACCGGGTCCGGGTGCAGTGCAACCCGAGAGGCTCCCAGCGGCTGCCTGGGTGCCTCGACGGAGGGGGAAGCTTCGCCCTAGGCCGGGGGCGTCCAGGGGTTCGGGGTCCAAGAAACGTGGATCAGTTAGAACGCCGGATCTTGCAGGATTCTGCAGCGCCAGGGCTGCATTGGCCTGGGCTTGCGTGCAGGATCCTATAGGATCCTGCAAAGCCTGACGAGACGTAAGAGTGACCTTCTGCCGAAGTGACCGTAGAAGCGGGCCCATTGGGGTCCCCCGATCGCCGAGAGCGAGGCGACAGAAGCGTCTTTCGCTCTTTTGCGTGTTGGCCCCCCCCAAAGCCGCGCACCAAATGTCACTATTACACAGGGTCATTCCTGCGTGTAGCAGATGGGGTTGGATATCATGGCTTGGGCCATCGTATCTTCCCGGATGGTATGACCATTCCTTCTTGCCCGGCGGTCGTTGAAATTCAGCAGTTTGGGATTCCCACATCCCAAACTACTTCAAGCGCGTTCTTGATTCAAGAATCGACATGTTGTTTCTGTGTTGTCTTATTCTCTGAGAGGGCCTGAACCCCTTCTACTTTCTCCGCCTCCTGCTTCATGCTTTCACCCACTTCTACTGGCCGACGTGTACCTCAATGTGCCCCTCTTCTTCTCTTATGCGCGACACGCACATTGACGACACGGTGCGATCAAACCCCTCTGACATCGACGACGGACCACGGGCATCTCCCGCTTGTGCCATTCACTCCATGGCCTCCGCTCTGCGATCTCGACAGCCATCCTTGAGGGCTCTGCACTCTTGGATGCCCCTGCTTGGACGCTCCCGATGAGGGAGGAAGAGCAGGAGGGGGAGGAGGAGGGGGAGGAGGAGGGGGAGGGGGAGGAGGAGGGTGAAGTGGAGGAGGAGGAGGAGGAGGAGGAGGAGGAAGAGGATGAAGGAGGAGGAGGAGGAGGAGGAGGAGGAGCGAAGGGTGACCAGGGTCCTGGTATCTCTCAGATGTCATAGTCCCCACTTCTTTCGATCACTACACCCCCGCGGCCCCCCTCGTCCGCGCACGTGCTCGGACCACCCGGCGCTGGCTCCTGGCCCCCCCATCCTCGGCGCACCTAGGCGCCTCGATGTTCACCGAAGAAGGAAAAGCGGCATAAGCATAATTTGTTGAGGATGTCTTGGGCCCGCGTTGGACCCCTCGGGCGGCGCCTCCAGCGCCGACCCTGGCGCGCTCAGAGGGGTCCAGCGCAGATCCAAGAAACCTGCGCGGAGCGCCACAAATTTGTGTGTATGCCGTTGTTCCCCTTCTTCTTTTGGCATCACTCGGACGCGTGCCTTTTTTCTCGGCGAGAGCCATCGAGGACCATCCTAGACCATGGAGCAGAAACAAACACGCACGAAGGCGACACATGCACGGGAAATGGCCGGCCGAGCGACGGCAAGCTCCAGGCCAGGGTTTTCGGGCGCTGTCCCGGGCGCTCGGCGGGCTCGGGCCTCTGATGCTCGCCAGCCGCTGCGCTCCGCCGGGAGGGCTGCCGGGGGTGCCCGCAAGGCTCCCAGCGGCCGCAGGAGGCCCGAGGCGTGGCCCGCAAGGCACGGGAGCCACGAGCGGGGTCCATGTTCGATCCGATCGATCGGATTCGGTTGGGACTTTTCAGATCGGATCGGTTCGATCCGTCGCAATGCTGGTCGGAACTCTTCAGAGTTGGGCACTTCTCCAGCGGAAGCCCGGAAAGCAGCGGTGCGCAGGTATACTGTCTAGCGCACGCTCGTGCCATTGCTCATGTGCCCACGGACACGCGGCTTCCTTCATTCATTCGATCGGATTCGATATCGATTCCGGCGGGCTCGGTTCGAGTCGATTCCAATGTTTGGTGCTTCGCGCATCCCCACCAGCCCATCCAGAAAGGATCGCCAGGGGAGTTGCCCACAAGAGGGAAGTGTGGAAGCGCGCAGTGCAACAGCCGTTGTGGAAGCGTGCCGGGAGCGCAGAACACGGAGAGTGTGGACGCGGCCTTTTGCGGACATGCTGCCGTGGGAGGTCCTGAGAGGACGCTTGGAGCCATTTGTGGGCCCTCTTGGGGTCCCCATATGGGGCCGCTCGGGGCACTCTTGGGGCCCGTCTTGGGGCTCTTTCGGGGGGTCTCGGGAACCTCTTCGGGGCTCTTCGCGGGGGGGGGGGTCGGGGGGCACTCGTTGGACGGTCGTGGGTCCCATAGCCCACAAGGGAGGAAATCTTCAATTCAAGTCCTCCCTCTCGGAGGCTGATGCATGACGTCTCGAGGCCCTCCGGGGGCAGCCTTGGGCGCCCTCGAGACCGTCTTGGTGCCCTACGGAGCCCGTGTTGAAGCTCTCTTGGGCCATTTTAGTGCCATCTTGAGGCTTCCAAGACCCATCGGAAACGAGAATGCGAGAAGACACAACGCATTGGTTTTCCGTCTGTATATATATATATATATATATATATATTCATATATATATACACATATATACATATATATGTGTGTGTGCGTGTGTGTGTGTGTGGAAGGATGCTTGGTTTGTTGGAGGGATGTTTGGGAAGGAGCTGCGGCAGGAGCTCGTCCTCCGCCCTTCGGTCGTGCCTTCTCCTGCTCCCTTTGGCCTCTGGCTGCCCCGTCGCCGCTCGCTCGATTGCACAGTGTCGAGCTGGTTGGCGCCTGCACCTCTCTCTGCACTTTCGCGCTCCTCCAGTATAAAAAAAAAACAGCGTCGGTTGGCTGCGAGGAGGGTCTCCGAGAGCGCCACCCAACATCAGGAGAACCGCCCGCAGCCCTGAGCCCTGAGGAGGAGGAGGAGGAGGAGGAGGAGGAGGCTAAATGGCTGCGCCAGATCGACACGCTTGCCAACAGCTCGAAGCGAAGCTCGAAAGAGGAGGCCTGCGCTCGTGCGGAGGCGCAGCGGCAGGCAGGGCGCGACCCAGCTGGGCTCGTGGGCTGCCGGCGCCGCCCCGCGGGAGCGCCTCCCCTGCATGACCCCCCGCCGCGCGCAGACCGGCTGGGCCTGGACATCAGGATGCAGGACTACTCCCTGAGGACCGCACGGGGGGAACCAGGGGGCGTGCAGGATCGACGAAGACTAGGGTCGAGGGGGCTCGAGGAGGATCAGGAGAGGAAAGAACACGCAGACACAATGAATCGCCGATTCCCAGAAACTATGAGAAAATCTGGGAAGTGGGGGGGAAGACAGACACCCAGAAAATAGGGGAAAATATGGGGGATAGTTTTATTTGTGTGTATTTATTTGTGTGTGTCCCAGTTCCCCTTCAAACCAGGGGTGGGGGGAAAACGGCGAAGACCAGGGTCGAGGAGGCTCGACGAGGAGCAGCGCCGAGGGGCATCGATGGAGGTGGGCCTGCAGGATGCACGGCCTCTCGATCCCCCCGTCCGCCCGCGGCCTCCGCCTGGCGCCCCCTTGCGGCAGGATCCTGAACATCGACGACGGGCCCTTCCTGCACTGGAACCGCTCCGCCGACTGCCTGTGTCCGGTGCGCCGCTGCGCCGGGGGCTGGCTGGGAGGATCTGCCACTGAGTCGAGCCTGTCCCCCATACAGGGGGACTTTTCGACGAAACATAAAGAATGCCCCCAAAATAATCCAACAATAGTCTGGGGACTATGTTTTGAGCATTTTTTTTATCATTTGGGGTTATTTTAAGGGGGACACGCCCGATCATTTGGGGTTCATTTGGTGTTTTTGTTTATCATTTGGTCATTTTTATTTTTCGTCGAACATCCCCCTGTAGGGGGACACGCCGGATTTCAATCGTCCTTCTCCCTTCCCGCCTTGAGCCGATGGAAGAAACAGTGACCATGACCAAGACGTCCCGGGGTTCTGCCCCGACGCCGGTGTTGAATCTTGGTCATGGTCTATGCCGGCCGTCGCCGATTTGCGAGGATGTTCGAGGAGTTGACGCTGACCAGGATGGACGGCGACCAAGATCGGCACGACGTTTCCGCGTTCAGTCTTGGTCATGGTCCCCATGTCTCATCTTTCAGGAGGGGAACAACACACAGACACAATTAATCGCCGATTCCCCAGAACAGATGGGAAAATATGGGAAGCGGGGGGGAAGACAAACACCCAGAAACAAATCAGAAACTATAGGGGAATTATGTTATCTGCTTGGTCTACTTATTGGTGTGTCCCAGGGCCCCTTCCATCTTTGGGGGAAGGTCGGCCCTTGGCGTGGCTCGCCATGCTTGCCCTCGCTCCGATCGTCTTCCGGACCTCATACCGTCCCTCTCGTCGCTCTGTGCGGGCGGCTGTGTTGGGGGACGCTAACCTTAGGTGGGGCGTGTCCCCCTGCAGGCGGGTTTTGCACGACAAATCAGAAGTAGTCAAAAAACAAACACACCAAACATGGTCAAATATACTAACAAAATTGCCCCCTGATTTTTTGTTGACTGTTTCTGAATCTTCCTCCTGTAGAGGGAAAGGCCCGACTTCATGCTAACCCACGTCCAATCAAGATTATAGGGGGAAACATGAGACATGCACATCCTGGTATGCACATCTTGGGATCGCTTTGAATTAGCAGGTTTCTCAAGCGAGTCCAGTACGGTACCAGGCCCAGTGCTCGATCGCGTAGTATGTGTTTGCAAGACACGAGTCTGTCAGAACTCGGGTTTACCTCTGTTTTTTTACGGCAGCAGTCGCTCGCGTCAAACACCAGGCATGTCATGTCAGGGTTCTGCTGGCTCGGACAGGCGAACTAGAGGTGCCCAAGCTCGATGGATCCGTCTCACCGATCTCTCCCCCTGCCCCTCCGTCCTCCCTCCCTCCTCCTCTTTCCCCCCTTCCTCATCCCTCATCCTCCCTCTGGCGCCCGCGAGTCCTGGGTGAGGAGGAGGAGGATGGAGGAGGAACAGGAGGAGCAGGAGGAGGAGAGACAGAGGATGTCTTTTATCATCGACCAGCCTCGGGTTGCAGCTCAGAACGTGCAAGAATGAGCAGGATGATCCAGGCCTCCCAAAAGAGGTCCGAGTCGATGGGTCGGATGAGCTCTCCGCATCGCCGATGCATCGGCGATGCGGCTCGAATTCGAACCCGATCTTGGCCAGTTCGGTAGGCTTCCGGTCGAGCTATCGCTGGGCACGCAGCGGAGAGTCTCCTGGACGTCTTCCATGGGGGAGTGCAGAGTTTCCTCCTTCCTACTTCTTTCTCCTCCTCCTCCTCCTCCTCCTTTCCTCATTCTTTAGCTTCTAGCTTCTCCCTCTCCTCCTTCTCCCACTCCTCCTCCTCCTCCTCCTCCTTCTCCTCCTCCTCCTCCTCCTCCTCCTCCAGGTGGATTGGGTCATCGAGCAGGCTGGCTGCAAAGTTAAGGCCTTAGCCAGTGAGCGCAATAGGAGTTGGACGGAGAGGGTGACTGCCAGCTTCGTGAATGGAGCCAGCAGGGCCCATCGTTTCACGAAAGCCGAGGCGCTGCAGGAAGCGGTCTCCGTCAGGTCCGGCCAGCAGCGCTACCAGTTGGCGGACGATTGCCTCAATGACTGGGCCAAGGTGTGGAGGACTCACGGTGGTGCACGCATGGCGTGCCTTCCAGGAGCTGACCAGTGGCCTCTCCCTTCTGGAGGCCGATGCTGCCGAGGTTGGGGCTGCTGTTCCGAGGTGTCCGGAGCGCACTGCGGGCGGGCCTTCGCGCCTGGCGCCTCGCAGCATCTTGCATCTCAGCGACGCGGCTGTGCAGACGTCCGCGCTGCTTTTTTTCAGGAGCTGCGAGCTGTGCTGCATGTGGCCGTCGGCGCGGACCTCGACGGAGCCTGTGCGGCCGCCCGCTGCCAGACAAGCCAGGCGAGCGCCGTCTCATCGCCCTGCTGCAGACGCCTGTGCGGGTGCGGGGGAGGGGCCGTCGGTCGGTGCCGGTCGAGCGGGAGGGGAGGAAGCGTAGTGAAAATTTCTCCGGGGCATTAGGCCCTGGGCGCAGCAGTACGGACTGCGCCTTCTCCCACAGTTTTGAGGCCGAGGTGGCTCGTCTCACCGACCAGCATGGTGTGTCTGTCCTGTTGGACGTGGTTAGTTAAATATCGGGGGTGGACAGAACCCCCAACAGTGACACGTCGATTAGTGAATTGTCCGTTTTCGGTTCTCGAGAGGGCGCCGTGGCCGTTATTTTCCAGGGTTGCGCCCGCCAGGTTTGGGCCTCAGGTCGTTTTCACTAAACCACGTTTTACTAAAGGGAGGTCTGTCCATCCCCGAAAATACTATGGGATGATCCTCCTTTCGGCTGTGATGGCCGAGGCTGTTGCTGTCGGGTACCCGCTGCGTTTAGCGTGACTACCCTTTTTGCAGGTGATCATCCTCCGGCCGCTTCAGCGAATCCGGCGGGAGCCGGAGCTTCAAAGTGTGACCTTTGGGGGGGTGATGGACGATATCTCATTCCAGTGGATAGGTCGTCAGGCTAGGTGCGCTTGGATAGTCTTTAATGCGGTCTCGGCGTTTGTTCGGGACACGCGTGCCCTGGTTTTCCGATCGCAGGCTGCCAAATCTGGATATCTGGCCTCGTCCAGCGAGGCTGCGCGTGCGGTTTAAGGCGCGGGCGGCGACGCTCAAGCTTCCCGCTTTCGGTCTGCTCCGAACCTCGGGCACGATTCGTTTGCGGGTGGCACCGCCCACAGAGTCCAGGAGCGAAAACGTCTGGGGACGGTTCTTGGGCGTCGTGGCAGGTTTCGTGCCCTGAAGCTGGCGGGGGATTTGAGGGTTGGGGCTCTCTGGCGCACCAGTATCATGCTGCCTGAAAGCCATGGAGCTGCTGGGGGCACAGACCTCAGCGACTCCACGCTTATGAAGCTCCGCTCGTTTCTTGGTGAGCTTGTAGGTGCTCGTGAAGGTCTTGCCTCCCTGACGGTTTACACATGCACGCAGAAGGATCGGATCTACGACGCTGCTTTTGATGCGACTCGCCCGCTGCTGCCCCGCTCTGCTGCGTGGCTGTGGGGCGGTAGGACCTCGGCTTCTCAGCACCGCGTCGCGTGGCAGCGTCGCGCGGCAGGTAGTTCGTGACAAGATCGGCAAGCAAGGATCTTGGAGGACGTGTGTTTGGGCCGACCTCGGCGGTGATCCTCACCCTTCGCAGGATCGGTTTGGACCTGGTGGCGGTCTCGGACCAGGGGGAAGCTGTGTCCACATACGAGCTTTCGCCGTCCGAGGTCCGAGCTTTGGTCCGAGACGGCGTCGAGCGCTGGCTGTGGCGCAGGGTCCCTTGTCATTGGCCCGAGGCTGCCGGTACGGAGGAGATCTGGATTCGTCGGGAGCCTTGAGACGGGGGTCAATGCAGACGGGGGTTAGCCAGAGCGCTGGATCCTGCAGGATCCTGCGAAGACCCCCTCTGGCTGACCCGGGTCAGCGAGCCGCTCGTGGCCGCGGGGCGGCCGCGCCTGTGGGCTGACCCGGGTTTGCGAAGACCGGCGCTGCATTTTTTTTTCTTGCATTGCAGTTTTTGGTTTCCTGCTGACCCGGGTCAGGATTGACCCGGGTCAGGATTGACCCGGGTCTGGATTGACCCGGGTCTGGATTCGGGGCTCTTCTGACCCGGGTCAGGATTGACCCGGGCCAGAAGAGCCCCGAATTCGAGCGGATGCGCCTCGCTGCGTTGCCCCTCCCCGCTGGGTGCTCGCCGAGGCTCTGCTCGGGCCCTCCGTCGGGGGTCCTCTCTGGCCTCCCGAGCGGACGTTTCCGGCTGGTTTTTATGGGCGTCAGGCAAATTCAGGAGGGGAAAAAAAACACACAGACACAATTCATCGTCGATTCCCAGAAAATATGGGAAAATATGGGAAGAAGGGGGGAAGACAGAAACCCGGAAAATATGGGGAACATTTTTGTTATTTGTGTGTCCCAGGGCCTCTTCATAAATGTAAGTTTTGTTGAGTTTGGCGGGGCACGCTAGGCCGCCAGCTTTCTGTCTGCCCCGCTGCCTTCGTCTCGCAGGAGGATGGAGAGCAGGCTCAGTATCCGTTTCCTGACGATGCGTGGCAGCAGAGGCAGGCCCTACGGGAGCAGGGAGTCTCTCCTCTGGGGGGGTCCGATTGGGATGTGGTTCCTCTCCTGTACGGCCTCCCTCATTTCCATGTTAGGCTTCCGCCTCCGCTGTCCCATTCTCCCGTGCTGCATTGGGGTCTCACGGAAGGCATCTGGGGCCCGCTCTTTTTCACCGACTGCAGCGGGTTGACCGGCGCGTGTCTCGAGGCGGCGAAGTGCGGCTGGAGCGTGGTTGAGATCACGGAGGATGCCTGGCCACTCCGAGCAAAAGAATCGGCGGGGTGCCAGGAATTTTTCAAACAGCGTCTCGGGGCGAGCGGTGGGCCGGTCTTGAGGCGATGCGCGTGGGCCCTTTTGACGTCACGATAATTTGTGATCACCTCAGCTTTGCTCGCGAGGGCCAGCGCTGGGTCTCTGAGCTCGAGTGCGGCCTCGCGCGCCACGCGTCGATCTGGCGAAAGATTATTGTGCTGTCTGAGCGGTCGGGTTCACGGCCGTCGATGCTATGGACT